TTTCTATGGAGAGGGATTAATCAATTTGCTTGCTCGTGGATGCAAGTCAGTGATATCACTTCTTCATGGGGTTTAAGAATGAAAATAAGATTTGATCTGTCAAATTGCAAGAAGGCCTGACAGTATCAATAGGCATTTTTTATCAATACATTTAAAGCATTTGTTATAAATAAATTTGTCCTGCTAATGTTGGTGGCTACAAACCTCATTTTGGTCATGATTAAGCCAATAGAAAGCATTATAAGCTTACTTAATTCAAATAGTACTGTTCAGCTATTAAAACACACACACACACACACACACACTCACCTCTGGGTGGAGATCACCTAAAAACATTTGGGCTAAAATAGGCCCAGTTTGGGCCCAGGCAGGCCCAACTTCTCTTCCCCTCATTTGTTTTGGAGAAAGTGGGAGACAAACTGGTACCCAACACTACTTACTGTGTAAAGAATTAAAAAGTGTACTGTGCTGCCCTAGAGAAACTCAGTCTCCAAGGAGACTCATTTTCTATGACCACAGCACTATGAGCCATCTGCTCACAAAGATTCAGTTGCATTTTGAAATATGCTTAAGTATTTTGCACAACTAGGCTTTCAGTGCTGTAACTGTTCGTCTACTCAGTGATGGCAATCTTTTTAGATTCCAGTGATGCCTACAGCCCACTGTGACGCTCATGCTGGAGGTTTACCACCACTGATCAAGTTATAAGAGACTTGTCAATAATGGATAGATTCGCCTTAACTTAGTTTTTGTTTAAGTTTTGTCTCTGTCTTTCTATGGGTAACGGGTATGTAAGTATATTCCTGATTGCAACCTAGTAATGGACTAGGTTGACTTTTTCCTAATACTAACCCAGGAATTAAAAATTTCCCCCTAGAATTAGCTTTTTATTGTGCAAAACTGAAAGAAGATTTATTCTCTTAATTGGAATTTTTTTCAATTTTTCTTGCAAAGTGAAATTATTTATAATTCAGTCTGTGAGTGCTTACTTCTAATCTTGAGAAAAATTGCAGCATTCTAGTAGCTTATCTGGAACGATTTAATTGAATGATACCTCATCCCTTTTGTTTCATTTCTTGCTGAAAATAGTTACAAAGCACATTAGTGTCAGATCCTCCCAAGAGGTGGTGTCCTTAGAACCAAGGACGTTATCTGACACTTGTGTGTGACCAAAGGCCTCAGCTTGTTCCATGCGCAAGGTGAGGATGCCACTACTTAACTCCCAGGGAGGGCTGAAGGAAAATTTTCTGTCATTGCACAGGCAGTGACAAGTGAAATATGCTGAATGATACCACCCTTCTCTGGTTATTGAGATCCCAAGAGAACCCAGGAAGCCTCTGTTATGAAGATTTAATGTATTTGTAGCAGTAGAAGGGATGGCCTTGCCTTGAATGTAGCCAATTCGAGGGCCCAGCAAGGGCTGCTCAACAGTTGTGGCCTGTCAAAGCAAGACCCCCGACAAGCCTGGGATTTGCATAGTTGGCTGGTACCTGTGGAGAGGCCTCATTGTGCTCTTGTCCATGGTGCATGGTGTCTCACCCTAGGCACAAGGCCCTATTCCAAGTGCCAAATTTTTCTAAGTCTGTTTCTTAAAAAGCTGTACAGTTCATTCTCTGTAGCTTTACATGTGCTTGAAAGTTTTCGTGCTAAATGGTTTTTAAATTTAAAGATAGAGCCACATATAAATAATAGCCAGTGACTGTGTTCTTCTGCGGGCAGGTGATAACTCCAGTAAGAACAACCTGTTTAGGCAGTTACAATATGAGTCATGGTGTCACAGAATCTTGGGGCACTCATCTGAGTTAGTCATCCATAGCCCCAGTGGGACAGTAGCAGAAGTCACAGGCCCTTCATTCATATATTGTGATATATTAGTGAGCTTGAGGTGTTAAGCCAGCCTTCATTTTGGGGGTGAATCTTGGTCATGGTGTGTAAGCCTTTTCTGAGTTGCTGGATTAGGTGTGCTAATAGTTTATTAAGATTGTTTTCATTTGTTTCTCTGTATGTTTGGGAAGGATTTTTTAAAGTGTAATTCTGTTTATAATGCCAAAAATCCTTTGTGCTTACCACATCATACAAATGTGTTTGATTTTTAGAGAGTTGTAATGATACCTCATTATTTTTCTAGAATATGATTTACTACTGAGTTAACCACTTAAATATTTAGCTCTAATTTCAGATTAATATTTGACTTTAATAAAATAATAATAGCTTCAGAAAGTTACCTAGATATATGCACTGCTTTTTTGTGGCTGGTGTAATGAATTATCAAAAACTTGATAGCATTTGGAAAAGACAAGTCTGTCTCTGTTCTGGAGCCCATAAATCTGAAATCAATACCCCTGGGCTGAAATCAAGGTGTTGCCAGGCCATGCTGACTCCAGAGGCTCTGAGGGAAAATCTGTACCTTCCTTCTCCCTGGATCTGGTGGCTGCCAACTTTCCTTTGCTTGTGGCCACATTACTTTAGTCTGTGTCCTCATTACCTTTCCGGCTTTGTCTATGCTCGCGCTCTTGTGCGCTCTCACTCTTGCTTTCTCACTTGTTCTCTCACACACATACATGTTTGCAGTGTGTGAAGTTTACAGCCTCCTTGGGAAATGTGTACATGTATGTAATACAGCTTCTTTTATTTTAATTCTCCCCTCTTACCTCCCTTCCTCCTCTAAAACCCCCTTTCCCCGTTTTCATTCTCATGATTATCATGCTTGTGACATATAATGTTTACAGTCATTGAGGTTATTCACTTCCCATACATGGCACATCTTTACTTACTTCCCCTCCCCTCCCCCTCCATCTCCTGGACCCCTTACCTTTTACAAGAGCTCTGTCTCCTTGTTTCCTTCTATCAGTCCTTTGTTGTGCTCTTTGTTTGCACTTGGTCTCAGTCATGTGAGAGATACTGTACTGTGTTTAAGCTTGTGTGTGGTTTATTTCGTCAACATTATATTTTCCAGGTGCATCCATTTTCCTACAGATGTCATAAATCTGTCCTTTGTAGCTAAATAGTACTGTTCCATTGTATATAGACATTACATTTCTCGGTCCAAATCATCTGGCTGCTTCCAGGATTTAGTTGTATGAATTGTGCTGCTATAAACATGAATCTGCATATATTGCTGTAGTAGTATGTCTAGCTCTTTGGGGAAGATTAGAAATGGGGATTGCTGAGTCATATGAATTTTCTAATTTTAATTTTTGATAAATCATACTGATTTCCATAATGGCTATATTTGTTTACATTCCTACCAGCAATGTTAGGAGTGTTCTTTTGTCACCACAGCTATGCTGCATTTGTTATTTTTTGATTTCTTGTTGATAGCCATTCCTTCTCGTATCAGATAGAATCTTAGTGTTGTTTTAATTTGAATTTCTCTAATGGCCAGAGATGAAGAACATTTTTTCATATATTTATGGGCCATCTTTATACTTCTTCCATTGAGAAGTATCTATTCATTGCACTTACCCATTTCTTAATTGGGTCTTGTATTTTAGGTGGTCTAATTTTTTTTTTTTAGTTCTTTATGTATCCTAGATATTTGTCTTCTGTTTGAGGACTAGCTGGCAAAGCTTTCTCATTGTGTCAGTTGTGTCTTCACTCTGTTAATTGATTCCTTTGCTGTGCAGAAGCTTTTTAATTTGATGTAATCACATTTATTGATTTTTGCTCTTATTTCTTGTGCAGTTATAGTTGTGCTTAGAAATTCCTTCTGCACAAGAGTGAGATGCTGTCAGCAGCCTGCTCTCTTGATAGCCAGCCCATTGTCCTGGGAGCTCCATCCATCCCTTTCATGAAAGTGGATCTCTTGTGACCCAGACACCTCTCGTAGACTTTTTGTCTCTCAGGACTGCTGCATTTGCAACTCAGTTTCAGCATGGGCTTTGGTGGGGACAAACCACAGCCAAGTAGCGGGGAGGGTCATTGGGTATGTGGGCCTCTTCTGAGCTGGTTTACCAAGGTCCTATCTGTTACTGGCATGACTGATGACTGAGTGGCCCGTGTGAGAAAGGTTTATAAGCCCTGCTGGGCAGGAGGAGGTGGGGTTCAAGCACAGTCTGACTTTTAAAGTTAAAACATCCAGTTCTGTTCTTTTGAGATTCTGTAGTTTAACAAGGTAGGATTTTTGCTGTCAGATTTTTCTGCCACTAGCACCACCCCCTCATTCCCCTTTTTGGAAGGCAGCTAAATCCTGAAAGTAGCTGACAGCATGCCCAGGGACAGTCTACACAGCTGGCCATGTGGGGAGCAGGCCATAGCCAGCTTGAAGGTGTGTTTCCCCTCCCTCTTTGTCAGTGGGCCTGTGGCTGCTCTGGGATGTGCAGTAGGAACTCTCAGCACTTTGGACTTCTGTGTGGATGGCCCAGATGTTGGTGTCGCTGCACCACTCTGAAACTGGGCATACATCCAGCAGAGTTGGGCAGCTCCAACTTGCAGTGGGCTGCAGTAGGAGTCACAAGATTAGAGCCACTGCTTCTGGCTATAACAAGCATGCTGTTGGCATGCATAGAGAATGTTTTTAAAGTCAAGCAGTATATAGTTTAATAGCACTATATAGTTAAATAGAACTTACTTCCTTTTTAGCACTGGGGATTGAACCCAGGGCCTTTACATTGAGCTACAACCCCAACCCTTTTTTCTTTCTTGAGACATTGTTTTGATACGTTGCTCAGACTGGGCTCCAACTTGTGATTCCCCTGCCACAGCCTCCCAGAGTGCTGGTGTTACTAGTATGTACTACCATGCCCAGCAGCATTTGCAGTGTTTTAATCACAGATCTTAAATGGAAACAAAATTAAAGGTGATATATACTTTAAATTTCAAAAATATTGTTAAACCCTAACTACTGCCTAGTGCAAAGTCCTTGCCTGGCTCTAACAGAATCACAGGCTTGGCTTCACTTCTATGCAAGGGATCTGCCCTGTAGCCGGCCCAGGTCTCGGGCTCCCAGACTAAAGGAGTGTCAGGCCAGCCCTGAACCCTATGCTGCCTGTTGGTTTCAGCAGGGAGGAGAGAGCGACGGCTTTTTCCACCTCGAGGGCCAGCCCCAGCGGCTTCCTCAGCCTCCAGAAGTGAGACAGCAGCCTGCCCGCAAGGTGACGCTGACCAAGGGGGTCCCTCAGCAGGCCCAGCATGCCCCTGTGGGGCCCCACGTGCATTCGGCTGTTCCTCCAGGGATCAAAAGCATCCAAGGCATTCACCAGGCCAAGAAGGTACTGCCTGCCCCTTGTCTGCCCAGATGCTCTAGGCCTGCCCCCCCTTAGGAAGTATCCCACTGATTAAGGATGGTTTCTCTGATTTGTGCTACCTGGCCTCTTCTAGTATACTTGTTGGCCAGCGAGGCATATTTTCCTCGCCTGGTACACTGCAGCTCGTAACACACATCACAAAGCTAGGCCATAGCCACAGCCTTTGAATGGTGAGTTGTGCAGTGGTCACCCTGTGCAGGCTGCAGCAGGCTGGCAGCCACTGTGTGCCGTGCACAGTGACAGCTCTGGGTGGGCAAGGGCTGCCCACTGGGAAGCTACAGTTGTGCCTTCAGGCTTCATAGCCACCACCTCAGTTTCAGCAAGAGTAACTGAGGCCTGTGATGGTAATCAAAGGAAGTGATAGAGCCAGCGCCCTGGCCCCTGTAACTCTTCCTTGGCTGCGGGGTTGAGGGACATACCCCTCTCCTCAGTCTGGTGGCAGGAAGCCTGGTGTCTGCTGGAGCCCATGCTGTACATGACGCCCATCTGGTTCTGTTACATGCTCAGCAATGCCGAGTTGTCCTCTCTCGGCTTCCAGGCAGAGACCGTTTGTAGTTTTTGAGGGTGGGCAACAACAAGGTCTTTCCTGGATCAGTAGCCAGCACCCTGTCTGAGGAACAAATGAAGCTGGATAGAGGGGTATCCAGAAGGCCTGGGGTTTGTTGGTATGTGGTATCAAGGTTCCTTTGTGTGCTGCCTTGTGCAGATGACATTAAACTCCTAGTCACATTATCCTGTCGGGTGCTGTGAAAATGAACATCCTGTGTATGGTGTGGGTAGGTACCAAGTTCCTTTGTCCTCCTGAAAAGAGGAGGATGTTTCTTACTTGAGCCTCAGGAGGAGTTTATATGGTGGTCTGTAGAGAGACCTGGCTTGTAAGTAAACATACTCCAGTGCGTTCATATTGTAAATTCCCATAGTTGAAGTGGAAGAGCACTTACTGCTGGTTTGCAGCCTTGTCACTCAGCTTGTGATACATTTCCCAGTGTGGCCCTGGAATAGCCTGAGTGGGTGCTCTGTAGGAGTGAGTGCCTGTCACCTGCTGCAGAAGGCTGAGGAAACAGCTTTTTCCTGGCTTTCTCTGCATGGTGCCCATTGTGTCTGCTCCTTCCCTGGCTTTATTTCCACTTTTTCCTGGGAGGCCTGGGAGGCTGCTGTTTTTCCCCTTGTCTGGTAATACTATGGGGCATCTGGGGAACCCGGTGCTGGTCAGTCAGTTCCACTTGAAGTCTGCATGGTCTCTGTGCACTTTTCTAGCCAGGAGAAAATGCTGGAAAGGCTTCTGTAGGGCTCTCTTAAGTAGCACTTCTGAATCTTGGTGGCAAAAAAAAAAAAAAAATTGTAAAAGGGATGATTTTTGAGCCCTGACTTTGACCTGAGGATCGTACTTGGGATGGAAGTGGTATCCAGTTCTGGTTGTGTGCATGTGTTTAAATCTCATCTAATGATCATAACATGTAGCCCTGCTGCAGAACCTGCCTTAAGTTTGGGGGGGTGACAGGTGTAGAGTTTGTCCAGATGAGCTGAGTGCCTGAAGCTGTGGCTTGTTGAAACTGCCAGGTGAATTCAGCACTGTGCTCACTGGGTCCCCACGGAAATAGTGGGAGAAGGGTGGGCTCTGATCAGTTAGGATGGGTCTACCAGCTTCCCCGTTACTCCCCCAAGTTTATGATTTCCTATTCCCAGGGGTGCTTCACCCACAAACAGTGGGAGCAAGCAGAGTGCGCTGAATGCCTGTGTGGCCCCAGGACACTCAGGCATTGTCACCTCTCTCCTGGTCCTCACCTGGTCTTGCTGTTCTTTTCTGTCGTGGTGAAGTGTAACCATCCTTGGGGAGAGGATAGAAAAGTACAGAGACTCCTATGGCTCACTGTATTCTAGTGGATGCTGAGTGGTTTGCTCCTTTGATACCTAGTAGCATGGAGGTAGCCCATACTTGAACGTGAGAATGCATTGCTTTTGTTGTTTCAGCCCATCATGCATGGACGAGGCCGAGGAGTGGCAGGTCCCATGGGCCGGGGGCGCCTGATGCCCAACAAGCAGAACCTGCGTGTGGTGGAGTGCAAGCCTCAGCCCTGTGTGGTATCCGTGGAGGGGCTGTCCTCATCCACCACTGACGTCCAGCTGAAGAGCCTGCTAATGTCTGTGGGGCCCATTCAGGTGGGTGGTCTGGGGGTGGCATGACAGCTCTGCAGTCTCTTGGATTCTAGATGAAGCCCTGTCTTGGTGCCTACATGTGGCTGAGGCATGTGAAGGTAACAGCTGAGAACAGACACGTGTCTGCTATGCACACTGATTTCCCAGCTTCTGACTCACTGGGAATGCTGAGGTTCTTGGTTAAAATTTTAAGAATTAAAGATTCCAACAGAAGAAAATATCCTTCAGAATCCTCAAATTATCCTGTCCTATAGTTCACACATGCATACCTCACTGATCATTTTTTGTTGTATCAAATTGCTTGGTGGTTTTTGGTAATAATTTTTAAAATTTAAAGTATTTAGCCTTGTCTTACAGGTAGCAGCTGTGGAGTGTTAAGATTTTATAGACACGACAGTAGCATATATCTCAAAATTTTATTTCCTTACATCTCTAAAATTTAAAACTGGATAATTCTAATGTTTAAAAGTTTTAAGTCTCCCCTGTGCTGACTTCTGAGGGAATGAGTGAATGTGAAATGAACTGAATAACAAGCCCCCAGCACTGTGTGCTGTTCCAGCCCCTTCTGCACACAGGGCAGTTAACTGCCCTCCCCACACACCTGTCATCAAGCAGGAGCTGGAGCTGCAAGCAAGCTCTTCAGAAACACAGACAGTAGGAAGTGTTAGGACACAGCAAATGTTAGAATTTTGAAAAGCAGAATTTATTTTTTAAAGCCTATAATCTCTTGGTTCCTGTGTGAATTTGGGGACATTTTCAGGCTGAGGCTGGTACCAATAATCAATATGTTTCAGATTCCATCTACTGCTGAGAGCCCCTAAAAATGAGGGTGAGATGGAAGCTTTCAAATGTCCCTTATTAGGCTTAATTGTAACTACCTTTGTTGTCGTTTGTTTTTGGGTTTTTTGTTTTGTAGTTTCCATTGAGAAGAACCACAGCCTGTCCTACTTTTAGGAGCAGATCTCCTAGCTTTGTAGTTAGGAGTATTTTTGTTACTTTGTCAAAGGCATAAAGCCTGTGTTCATGGATAGTTGATTTCTAAGCAGCTGGTCATCGTGGAGATTTAATTTGCAGGAAGAGTTGACAGTAGACTTTAGGTGCGTTAAAATGTTGTTCATTTGCTCGAAGCTCAGAACATTGGGGCTGGCAGTTGTGGTAGCCAGACAGATTACTCAGGCCCAGAGTGTGTGCTTTGAGCCTTGGCCACCAGGGCGATGCCTGTTCAGAGAGCTGCGGATGCCGGCACTGCTGGCACATTCAGCACACTGAGTTTATAGTATGCCCTCTTCATAAAGACTTGGTTGTTTTCCTTAATATTCTGGAATCTGAACAGCACGAATAGTTTCTCGTAGTGTTAAGTGAGACTCACAGGTTGCATGGTAAAAATGAGCTTGTTGCCATGAAACTACCTAACCTATCATTTAAGTTAAACTTTGAAAAAACCTTTTTTTTTTTTTTTTTTTTTTTTTTTTTTTTTTTTTTTTTGATATTAGGAGTCAAACTCAGGATCTCACACTTGCCAGGCAGGTGCTATGACACTGAGCTATATCCTTGCCCCAAACTTTGAAATTTTTAATGATCTTCTAGGTAGCTTTTTTTCTTTCATTTGCCATTTTCTTTTCTGAAAAGAATTAGAAATCATTGTTATAAAATTTGATTGGAGCCACTTAAAATCCCAGCAAAGTCAGTGTTGCAGTTGGTCACAGTGAGTTGCTTAGAGAGTATTTTCTGGGTCCCTCAGTCAGAATGAGTGAGAGAGAAGGTGCAAGGTTCTGGGCCCCTGCGGGCCCAAGGACCAGTTCCAAATTCCAGCAGGCCATTCCTATTCTGTAAGCAGCCTACCTTAGGGCTGTGGGATGATCTTGACTGGGAAAACCATAGCGTCTTCTAAGTGCCATGTCTCCTGATTTAAAAAGAAGAAAAAAAGACTTAATACAACAAGCTGCTACCCACATTTGAAGGCTAAAGAAGTGCTTTAAAGAGGGTGTCATCATCTGACTGTGGTCTAAATACATGCTTTGGAAGGGATGGTGCGGACTACCTAGGTTTCAACCTCTGCCTACCTGGTTCCAGAAGGAAGTGCATGCGCGCTCTGGAGTATAGAGCCACCTGGTGTTCACTCACTTAATGACGCATAATGGAGTTGACAGGAACCCCTGTGCTTTTTCACCATAGAAAATTCTAGTAACTGCATGTAAACTGTGCTTTATAAACCTAGGGGAACTGAGATTTTCCTCAGCATGACCGTGACATAGCAGACGTTGCTGCTTTCAGATCAGTGTTTTAATTCTTGCACTGCTGTCATAAGCTGCTGTATAGAGTAAGAAGAGTGACAGGAGTATGCCCAAATGGTGTAAGCAGAAGACAGAAGCATCAGCGGCCTAGTTGTGCGTTCCAGAGTCAGCTGAAAGGTATTGCCGCTGTATGGATACTGCAGAGTGCAGCCAGCTGCACACTGAGAATAAGAAGCCTTGCCATAAGGCTGCATTCTAATCCTGGCTTTGCTATGCTTTGGTGGTGCAGCTTTTGATCAGAGAACGTCACCCCTGCGAGCCAGGTGTGTTCTGTCTGTAACACCGTGGTAACTCCCAGGTGCTCGTTAGGGTAAATGAGTCGAGATACGTGTGGGAGCCTCAGTTACCCAGTGGCAGATAGGGAGTGACTGAGGGGTTGAATTGCATCCTGTTTGTTTGTTTGTTTGTTTAGAACAAAGTCTTAACCCAGGCAGGGCTCAAATTTCATGTCTCCTGCCTCACCCTCCCAGGATGCAGGGATTACAGGTGTGTGTGCTCTTCTTCAGGAGATTCAGTGAGAGGCACCATAAAAGTTACCTGACAGGAAGATGTGAGAAGAGGAATTCTGCACTGATCTAGGGCAGGTTGGGTGGTGGTTGTGGCCAGGGGATAGCAGGTCTGAACACAGGGTTGCAGGACAGAAGTTCTCATGGGACTGTTGGAGAAAGCACTGTTTGGGAATAGGACATCCTGTTAGGTGAACAGAATTGGCAAGGAGGTAGAAGGTAAAGTCCAGTTTGTGTCTGTGCTCTACACACCAGCCTGGCTCTCAGTTCTTTGTTACGGCTTGTAGTGGATGAATATGTACATACTTTATGCTATAGAGTGACATGTGGAATGTTTCTTTTCTCTTCCTCCAGAGCCTACAAATGCTTCCACAGCAGCGGAAAGCCATTGCGAAGTTCAAGGAACCAGCACATGCACTGGCGTTTCAGCAGAAATTCCACAGGTAGCCCATGGTCCTGTGGGCATAACTAGGGTGTGTTACCTGCTGCAGGCTATACCAGTGTCACAGAGCAGAGCACCAGCAGCCCTGTTGTCATGTGGGGAGTGCACTTCTCTCTGTCATATGGGGACTGTTTGCATATCAGTCTCACCCATAACTGCATTATTCTCTTTCTTGTTTTTCTCTTTTTGTGGTGCTAGAGATTGCACACAGGGCCCTGAATATTCTAGGTGAAAAAGCACTACACCCTTGAGCCATATCTACTCCAGCTTCTGTTTCTGTAGAGGAGATGTTAATCCTGACCCACTGTTCTGCTTCACTTTCTTCCCTTGGTGAGTTGACTGCCAGTGTCTGGAGTTGGTGTTGACTGTTTGTTTAAATTTCCACAGGCACATGATAGATTTGTCCCACATAAATGTGGCCCTGATTGTGGAGTGAGGTCTGACGGGAGAGTCTCGCCTCATCTGCACACATGTGGAATTTCTTCAAGGAAGCTGCCACTTTGGAAGACCCCAGGAGCACAGCCTCTCTGGTCTGAAGTCTGGAACTCTTACCTGGGTGCCAGCCAGTGCCGGTGACTCCGTAGAGCTGGATGACGGGACGTGGCGAGCGAGATGGGTGTTGGGTCGCTTTGCATTCCGTCGTCCACAAGAACTCACTTCTCGTTTCCCTTTGTTTCCAAGTGCTCACAATGCATGTAGGCCCTGTTCTCCATGATCCTGCTGTGTGATTGATCACAGTGACTCAGTCAGGAGAGAACATTACGTCACAGGTTCTGAGTATTTTTCATAGCAAAGAATATTTGATAATGGTTGCACTTATCTTCAGTGCAGGCTAGAAAGGAGTATCTCACCTAAGCTTCACCAGGGTTGTCTCCTCACCCCTCACAAGGCTCTGGTGAAACCATAGTTAAAATTTGGGTGATTATCAATTGACACGCACATAGCCTGGAAAGCCAGGTGTGAGTGGGTGGTTGGGATGGTGCCAATGGAATGGCCATTCTGCTTCTCGTAGATCTCTCCAAAGTGCCCACTGCGCGTTCCTGGCTCCCAGGGGAACTCCCACCTGTCCATGCTCTCTCAGACAGGCACAGTGCTGGCAGACACAGGATGCCCCCAGCCCCTGGAGGGCCTGATTTCTTGCCCTGCAAGGTGAGGCACTGTTGCGGGATAACCAGACCTACTTAGGTTTTCTTCTTTTTCAGTGCAGCCCCAGGTGGTGTGTTTGTGTCACTGCCTCAGTGACATGCACTACCATTGCTTTGATTGCCTTTTTGCCTTGAGGGCCTTTGAGCAGCGACTTCATTGTTGTTTAGGGGCTTGAGGGTTTGCTCTGGCTTGCCATCCTCTACACCCATGTGTAGGGTAAGGCTGTCTCACGGGGATATCTGTTCGGGTAGGTTCTGCAGGGAGACCCTGTCTTCACAAAGCATCTTCTGTGGAAGTCCTTGCTGGGCACTCACTGGAAAGTGCCTTACTGGGTTTCTGCCCAGGAGTTTCACTAATAGAGTAAGTCCAGAGTGGGCCTGAACTGTTTGACCAGGCATCCCAAGGCACACTCAGACTTTATAGCTGTGCGTCACACCTGTGATTCGTGTCACATTGTTAGCAGAGCTGAGGGGCATAGAAGCCCATTGTCACTTGCTGCCTCTGGTTAAGCCAGTGAGGACCAGCCTAAGCCTCAGTGCTCTCCAGAATGCCCCATGGTAGCTAAGGCAACAAGAGGGAGCTCTGGTTTCCGAGGCTGCAGTTTTATATTCCATTTTCAAATTAAGTTGCCAGTGCCAAGAACTGGAGAGGAGTATTCAGGCCCTGTCAGTCTCTGTGTAGCATTGATTGTGAGTTGGCATCATATGCCTAGGAGGGACACTGGGAAGTGCAGGAGGTTGTTGGGATTCTGGAAACTGGCATTCACCAGCTGTCCTGGCAGACCCTGCCCTGGAGTCTGCTTCTGTTCCAGAAGTCTCTGCCTGGCCTTGTCAGAGCCATCACTGTCCACTCGTCAGTTAGGTGCAGGTGTGTCCACACAGGAGGAGTGCAGTCTGCATGGCCTAGTCCTCAGAACTTCACTGAAGTAATGGCTTCGATAGCTTTTGAGCTCTGGTTCAGAGAGATCCTGACCACTAAGGACCTGCCGCGTCATAGGAAGCCTTATTTTATCATCCAGGATTTAGGGTACAATAAAATGAGTTTAACTGTTTTTTTTTTTTTTTTTTTTAAACCAGTTTTCTTAAATAGTCTGCTATGCTTTTGAAGCCTAGATCTGCACCTCGTCTCTGGGAAATTAGTAGGAATTGAAGCATGGATGTAAGTGTTGACAGAACAAATCCTGTTGGGTGCCATGGTTTAAGACAGGCTGCAGGCCCCTCCACAGTCAGCTTTGGCCTTGGCTGAGAATGACGGGTTCCCAGGAGCACATGTGTCCTTTTCCATAGCCATCTATGCGCTCAGACAAGTGTTCTCTTCCTGCATCAGTGGAGGCAGAGGCAGCAGGGCTGTGTGTAAGGGTGGGTAGGGCAGAGGGGCATAGGTACAGACCAGCCTCTCAGTACTCACACCCTGGAGCAGCTCAGCCCGGGGAGGCCAGTGCTGCAGACTTAGTGTCCGTGGAGGAACCACAGCAAAGGAAAGAAGCAGAATTAGAACTGGTACTTCATTTTCAGGTGCACTTGTGGGGAGGTCAGATCTCCACATGCGCCTGAGCCCTGGGGAAGATCTGCTGCAACCATTATCTTTGTTCTTTATCATGCGTTTAAGGTGAGGGGCAGGGCGTTAGCACACTGTGTACATACGGACCTTTTGAAATGACACGTTACTGGAAATGCAGTCTATGCGACAACATCTTAGCTATTTGTTAGTTCTTCTGTGTTGTCTTATCAAAGTTTAATGGAGACACTTCCATAATTGTTTACGTGTTTGTGTGTACATTCAATTTTTATAAAGATGGTAGTAAGTCAATTCATTTATCCTCATCTGTGTATTATTTGTTCACAAATTCAAGAAACATAAAGCCAGTAAATGCAAGTAGATCTCAGGAGATGAATCCACAGGTGATTATATGTAGTCAAGTAACTTCTCTTCCTTTTGCATTGTTTATTTTGTCTGTAATGTAAGTTCACCCAGCTGTTGACCTGGACATAGCTTTGCATTACCCTCGGCCTGGCCACATTTGTTAAGTCCTAGCCTGATCTTCTTCTCAAAAGTAAATCTCATTCATTCCTTCTTTGCAAAAGAAATGTGGCAGTTGCCCGGTGTCCTGATTAGGCAGCTTCCTGTGTAAGCCTTGCGCTCACACCTCAGCCTCACCAAGAGGAAAGGGGATGGGGTGGGAGTGGAGATGCTTTGGCCATCAGTACTTACGTCCTTAACAGTCTGTGTAACGGTCCTCTGTGAACGGCTGCTTGAGTTCCCTGCAGGCCCTCTGCTGAGTTGTGACAGTGTCGGTCCTGTTCCCAGCCTTCTGCCCGGTGCTGCAGACAGAGCTCTGCTGCTCAGGGATGCTGGTGAGGAGCTGGCATGGAGGGCAGGTAGAGTCAGGGACAGTAGCTAGGAGAGGAGCTCTCCGTCAGGGACAGGTAATATAGGTTAGGCCAAGGGGCCTTTCTCCAAGGACTGGGGTTAAGAGCCTATCCCTTTTTTCTTTCACCTTTTTTTTTTTCCCCCCGTTTGTTTTTGGTGATTCTCTTTGGTTTTATTGGGAAGGTAAACTCAGCTCATGGACTGTTGGACAGAGGTGAGCTAGGCAGGCCCCAGTGACTTGATTGCACAAGCCCATGGAGGTCTGTGTAATGCTGGGTGTTGTTCTTGGTTATCCTCCAGCTCTCTGTCCATAGGAGATGAAATGCCCAGGGATCAAGGAGCACCTCTATGGGGCCCATGCAGGATGGCTCTCAGCTTTAACTGAGTTGCCGCTGCCCTGTGCAGGAATCCTGTTTGTTTTCCTACATGTAGGGCTCAGTCCTGCACACAGTCCCTGTTAGACACTCAGTCCAAAGCTCCTTCAGGACTCTGCAGCCGCTTCCTGCCTTGTCTACTTGAAGCAGAAGGTGGAATGTGGGGATAGTACTGGTGGCTGAGACTGTGTGGGAACTGCTCTGGAAGGGAAGGGACCAGGGTGTGCAGGAGAGAAGGAGCTGGGTCTCCCCGTCAAGGGAGCTGCAGGAGCTTAGGTCAGGTACGGGAACTTTGCATATTGTGTTCAGTGAGCATCTGAGTTGATGTTTTCAGCTGTTTTAAATTCTGTAAATAAAGTTTTACTTTGACATTTTTAACTATGAACTCTGAAAAGGCATTTAGCCTTAATTTAATATTAAATCCTAAGGATTTTGTGTAAGGTTTTTTTGCAACCTGTTTAGTTCTTGTCATTGAAAATGCCTAACTTCTTAGGTACATGAGCCCATGGTGTTGTGTACCGGAGTGAAAGCAAACCACTGATTCATATTGGATCCCCAGGTACGCCACCTTCTGGTGGCACACAGTTCCATGCTTGCTGTGACCTGCCTTCTCTAGAGACTGTCATACATACCTCAACTCTCCTTCCGTCGTGTCTTGTAGGAAAGTTTTTAAGCAAGATGGGCTGACAGAACAGGCGCATGTAGTGAGAAACTTCTCAAGTACTTGCTTTTTCCTTTTTCTTCTGACAAACTAAAACAGAGATCTTTGTGTTGTTGTTCTGCTTGGTTTCATTTTACTAACTAAAAAGTTTGAGAAAAATGCAGATTCTTTAGAAAGAAGCAGCTTGCAGATTTTTATTTGCTATGTCCCACACATTGGATAAGCAGACAGGCACTAGGTTCATCCTGCTGTGTTTGACAGATTCATATGTTGAAGAAAGGAGTCTTCTGGACTGTTTTTACATGATTCTCTCCTAAACTAATTTTTATTTTAAGGTCAGATATAGTGGGAGCTGATTTTAAAAGACTGCTTGAATCTTCTGCATTCTATGCTATTTTCTTAGCGTATATAATATTTAAAAATAACACGTACACACAGTGATGCTGTCAGCAGAGGAACAAAGTAACCACCTGTTTTTATAATTCTGCTTTTGCTTTTCGCAGGTGTGGGATCCAGAATGCTTTGCCTCTGTGAGAGTTTTGACTTCTAGGCTTTAATTACATTTAATTTGCAGGTGCAGCAGTGACAAAGCACGAAGTCTGATGTCTTTTCTTTTTGAGCTTGCTCTTGGCTTGTTGGCTGTGTCTGTTTTCTTCTGGCTGCTGCTGTTCTGTCTTGGGCTGCACTTCCACAGGGAGTGGGAGCCCTTCCTTCCTCCCCCATTCCTCTTTCCTGATTCCCGCCCCCCCCCACACACACACACCGGATGCTCCTTTCCCTCCTGAGGTGCTGCTGTGGTCCCGCTCCCCTCCTCCCGCTCTCCTGGCTTCCTCCTCACCCTGTCCTGTCTTCAGCCCAACATACAGGACTCACTCTGACCGAGCACAATGTTTTGAATGTCTCTGCACTGTGTCCTGACTTGCTTTCTCTAACCCTTTGCTTTAACAGGTATCTGCCCATGATTTATTCCTCCAGGTCTCTGATTGGAGAGAATAACTTCTTGATCTGTTATTTTGCAGTTTGGCTCTGTAGGAGTGTGGGGCGACTGAAAGATGCCAGCATTCTGCAGCTGTGGTTGGCCGTGCATTAACCACCCCTTCTCTGTTCTTGTCCTCTGCCTTCACAGGGCCTGGGGCGTGGGTCAGTGTAGTGGTAGTGTGCCTCTCATTCCACTTGGAAGCGATGGCCGTGTGGCCGTGTCACTGCCCTTGCTGACGGTGGCCTCCTAATGCAGTATGCGCCTCGTGGCTGCGCCAGGTGCAGCGTGGAGCTGCGTTTGTTGGGAATGCACTGACTGGAAACCAAGGGATGGCTGACTGGCTCTTCTGGGTTTGATCGGCTTCCTGTTCTCTGCCACTCACGCTCGTCTGCTCTGTGGGAATGATGTTGCTGTGTTTACCCCATTTTCCCTTTGCGTTAACCCCAGTGGAATTTTTCCAGGACTGTTTGTGAAGAATAGTAGTGATATAGGTGAACAGACAATGTATTGTTACATGTATGATTTGTGTGATTTCATCCTGAAAGATGTGTTTGCCCTATATTGTATCTTGCAAGATGTGTTAATAAAGTCTCGCAGTGTCTCCTCTGGCCCCGGCTCTCATTTTATCCCAGGTCCGTCCGTACCTCAGGACACTTTTATGCACTGCTGCCCCTGGAAGGGAGAGTGGATTGCTCCTGAGGCCTAGGCTGTGGCCCAGATGTCTGATGAATGGACCCACATGAGATCCAGGGAACAGCTTGTCTTGTCCCCAGTCACGTGGCACGTGCCTAGGAACTGGCCACACAGGGCTAGAGTATGTTGTTTTGTTGAGACTGGCTGGTGGCACTAGAGTCTCTTAAATTTTTGAAAGCGTTTACAAATATTTGTTACTATTTCAACACTGATGAAAAAGCCTGAGAATGCTGAAAATCAGTCATGCATACTGCACCCTGCCACCTGCATACTGCTCGCTGCCACACTTGGGTTTTTATCCTGTGCAGGTCTTATTTGAGAAGCTGAAAGCCATGGCGACCACTTTCTGCTTAATGCCTCATAAGCCTTTTTCATATTGCTCTAACTTGCTCGCAGTTTGGGGCTTTGGTTTGAAAATAACTGAAAGTCACAGCAGCTCTGCCTCCAGGAAGCTCCATTGACAAAAGCATATAAGTAACTAGCCCTGTACCAGTGCAGTGGCCCTCCCACCTGTTGCTGCTTCTGCATAGCGGTGCACTTCCCTCTGTCCCAAGACCTCAGTGGGAGATGCTCAGCTCATGTGACCTGGGCCACCAGTACTCTGTGACAGTGCTTAGGCCAGCAGCAGTGGGTGGCACATGGCACTACAGGGTCTGGACCAGCCCCTTACCAGCTGTGCCCGTCTTGAGCCTCAGAGCCAATGAAGGTACAGGGGAGGTACCCAGCACCCACCCTGGGCATCCCACAGGCTCAGCTCTGGCCTGTGCCCATGTCAGGGCCGGGACCCAGCGTACCTTTGAGGTCAGGAGGGGAAGCACAGCACCTCTTGGTACAGCAGGATTTTAATCCCATGATAGAGCAAGGATGAGCAGTGAGGGGGTGATGCCTGGAGTTTCCACCTTACCTTGTAGTCATGCCCATACTGCTGAGGGGTAGCAGCTCCACTGTCTGAACAATACCTTCTTCTAGTAAAGCTCAGACACTTCAGATTCATCCGTGAAAATATTTAATAAGATCTTGATTCTTGCCAGGGATTTAGCTCAGTGGCTTAAGCGCCTGCCTGGCAAGCACAAGGTCATGAGTTTGATCCCTGGTACCAAAAAAAAAAAAAAAAAACTAGTAAAAGACAAACCAGTCGGTAAGGGAAAAGGAGAAAGCACAAAACAGATGCCAATGGGGAATGACCATTTAGAAAAAGGACTCTTTATAATGTAGGAGAATGCAGTACCCGTCTGTGGTCCTAAGGCAGTGAGCACATTCACAGTGCCGTGAGCTCATCCCCACTGACCATCCATGAGCGGAACTCTGCCCCGTTTACAGTAGCTCCCATTCCCCCCCAGCAACTGCCATTTCACCTCTGGTTGTACCTCATGGGCTTGGGATATAGCTCAGTGCAAAGGCCCTGGGTTCATCTGGTAGTACCACATGTGCATGGGCACGCATGCACAGAGACACACAGCCAGGCAGGAAGCAACAGACAGAGAAACATATTTGTTAAACACTAACATACTTAGCAAAGGGAAACTGGGGAAGTATTTTAATTCATGGAGTGACTCTACTGCTCCAAGCAGGAGTCCACTGATCATTCTTTATGAGCAAACACACAGCACCCTTCTAGCTAAGTATTTCAAATATTCATAAACCGAAGCTAGTAGGATATTGAAAGAACAACAGATGCGGTGGACCACCTCTGTAATCCCAGCACTCTCGGTGGCTGGGCTAGCAAGAGTACCAAGTTTATGCCTGGCACATGCAACGCAGCCACCTAGCGAGAACTCAAACTAAGAAATAAAAAAGGGCTGGAGACAGCTCATCACAAACGCCCTGGGTTCAAGCCCCACTACCACAAGACAGACAAAAAGACACAACACAAAGAGGTTTTATATCAGATCCGCAGGACCGAAGTACATAAAGTATACAAAAGACAAACCATTTCATATAGATGGAAAAAGGATCGATCACTCCACAAGGATGCCTAAATTAGCTCTCCAGTAGGAAGAAGGAAAAAACACTTCCTTTCTAAGTGTGTCCGTGTGCACGCATCAACCTTGCTCAGATTAAATCATTCTGTTTTTTTTAAATCAGATAATGTATTCAGATGTAAATCTAAGTCACATGCTGAAAAATACAAATGAAAAAATTATGTTTGATAGGACTCTCTAAGCACGTTACCCAAGTCAGAATTAAACACAAAATTTGACTAGGTTATATACAGAAATTATCCCAAAGCAGAAAACCTCATAAAGCAAAGTTCTGGCAAAGTGGAAAGATACTTGTAATGCACAGATTGGGCTACAGTCTATATAACCGAATATTTATAAGGCAGCAGTTGGGCTAAGACTATGATTTTGTTTTGTTTTATTTTGTTTCTGTTTTGTTGAGACAGGCTGTCCTCTTGCCCAGGCCGCTCTCCAACTCCTCAGCTCAAGGTGCCCTCTTCCTTTGGTCTCCCAAGTAGCTGGGACTCCAGACCCACAACCATGCCTACTTCAACAACATGGATTTTTTTTTTTTTTTTCTGGTCTTTTTCTTTGTTTGAGGATCTCATTATGTAGTTCAGGCTGCCCTTGAGCTCACTTTGTAGCCCAGGCTGGCCTCAAACTTGCAACGATCCTCCTGCCTCAGCTTCCCGAGTGCTGGGATTATAGGTATGAACAGCCATACCTGGCTAGCAACAAGGATTCCAATGCTAGAAGGAACTGAGAAGAATACCTGGTCTACACTAAGCGTAATACATGTCAGCTGGTGTTTGTGATGCTTAAAACAACATAGACCTATGGTGAATAAGTATTCAAAAGAAGTCCAACTGAAAAGTAGTTAAAAAGCTGGGCGAGATGATGCATGTCTACAATCCTGCCTCAGCCTCTGAGGAGGTGAACACCACTTTTATTGTGTAATACACTGAAAAATCAAAAATCAAATTTTCTAGAGGACTGCAGATTTTCTGTTGGTGGAACCTATGTGCCCTAAGGTATACAAAAGTGACACTAGCTGTGGTCATTGTTATTGTGCACATAAGTCTTATAGCATCCCCAGATGATTCATTTAAAAAGATAAAAGAGTATTTTAAGGCTTTTTTCCCTTTTATGGTGCTGGGGATGGAAACCAGGTCCTCCTACATGCCAGGCAAGAGCACTACCACTAAACTACATCGTTAGTCCTTAGCATCACACTGGTTATCTAAAAATTAAAAGTAATGATGACAAACGGTTTTGTGCTAGAATTTTAAATCTCTAAACTCAATGTTGTTGTTTCTTATTTTACTTTCAGAAATGGGGATATCTAGAAAGGAAGCCTTAGAAACTGCAAATTACAAGATAAGAATGTCTCACAAATAGACCAAGATTTGCTGATACATCTGGTACTTTAGGCAGGAAGTAAATATCATTGGACAGTTTCCAGCAAGCTCATACCAAGACTTCATAGTTACCTTCTATTTACCACTACATAATATGGGAATGGAGTACCCTTAATGAAAACAATTGAAATTTGTGGTGCACTGGGTATTGGAGAAACACAATCATGGTATACTAAGATGTTCCTTTCTTCGAGATCATGAGTTTGATTCCTGGTACAAGAAAAAAAAACTGTCCCTGTTTAAAGATGGGTTTAACAATAATACTTTTTGTAAGAATTTTGTGTTGTGAGTTTATAGTCATAAGACCAAAAAAAAGGCTTTGTATTGCTCTATGACTCTTAATCATATGTGCATCAAACAAAAACCAGCTTCTTAGTAAAAATGCTTATTTTGCAATGTTTCACTGTGCTCACTAGGATAAACCAGCAGTATCCTGCTTCATTAATTCACTCCCAAGAACATATTTTAAAGTCAAACTCTTGAGAGGGGTATCATTCCCAGAACCCTGAAATCTACAGAATTTCATTATCCACTATTGTGATCCCAAATGCTGAATACTATAATACCTTTTCAATCTTCCTCACAATCCAAAAAGTTGTATTTGTAAACCCACTGAGATATTATTGGAATCCTAGCAAGTTAATTCCAATTTACCACCTCCAATGCAACCCACGGTGAGAGTAAAATCACCAAGACATATTCAAAGATAAGGACAGCCAAGGGCTCCTAAACCTGATCCCAGTGAGGATATGTGGACAAAGGCCCTGATCCACGGCTTCTCCCAGAATTTATCATCTTGTGAAGAAGGGGAAGGCTTGAGGATGAGGGACAGTGAGGATGGCAGGAACTACTGAGTAACTTGAGCTGGCTAACCAGGTAGGGAGAAAAGCATCTTAGCAAAATACAAGGAGAATGACGTGCAGAAGGATCAAGCTGCATCATTCAATTAAGGTAGCAATTGAATTGCTTTTGGAGGCTGTTGCTTCAATTTTTGATATGTAAATTTGTGCCCTGGGGACTTATATCCTCTTTATTTAGAGGCTCATACCCAGTTGACATTCCTGGAGCTGACTGGCTCTGCCATCCTGCCATGCTCATATCTTAGAATAGCCCCAAAGATTACATATCAGTACTTCAGCTGGCCTTATTTGCATTGCTTAGAGCCAACTGAAGGGACAAGAGCTTGTTCTGTACATATCAGAATATGGAAAGAAGACCTCAATTTAACTAATGTTCTGCATTCAAGGAAAGGTACCCATGTACCCTACTACATGGACAGTCCACTACTAGTCCACTACTTTAATTGTAGTTTTCCTCTTTAGATACTTCCCTAAGCCCCAAGGAGACTTAGCCATCTCTGTTTCCTTAGGAGTATGTTTGTGTTAGTAAAACGTTTTCACTGGTACCTAGCTAGTTAATATTTGGGTTTCTTTTCTTTCTTTTTTTTTTTTTTTTTTTGTCTTTTTGGGGCAAGGTCTTGCTATGCAGTGGCTGGCCTTCGGCTCACTTTATAGCCCAGGCTGGTCTTAAACTCCCAGCAATCCTCCTGCTCAGCCT